AGAGGGAGCGTCCGCATCCCTGAGACAAACATGTTTGGGACTGTAGCTTCCAGAACTGTGGCAGCAGGGGCTGCTGTCCTTTCAGGGTGGCCTGGTTTGTGGGGCTCTTTGTAACCACGGAGACAGATGACAGCATCAGAAAAAAGGATCGCCCGGTGCATTTGCCTAGTCACCGTTGGCGAGTGGACCGCAATGTGGGGTGGAATGTAGCCTTCCGATGAAGTCCACCTCTTCCATGACACGCAGAGGCCTTACCCAGTGGGTCAGCAAGCTCTTTAGCCAGGAGCTGGCCCTGTACGAGGGCCCTCCCCATCCAGACAGGTCAACCCACAGGCCCAACACCGGGGGCTCTGCGACAGTGAGGAGGACAGGCGGTGTGGTCACTAACGATCCGCCCATTTGACAGAGGAGGGGACTGAGGCCCAGGAGGCTCCGTTGTCAGGAGACAGAGTGGGGTTTGGACCCAGGGCTGGCGGCCCTGAGGTCTGGGTGCCCGCCTCTCACCCTCTTGATGTTCGCTGTGTACTGCTTCATGGCGATCTTTTCCAGCGCGTTTTCGAAGCCAAAGAAGGACCGGATGTCCAGAGAGGCGGACTGCTCGAAGCACGTCCAGTCTTCGTTCTCCGGGTGGACCTGAAAACCACACGCCAGAAGGTGCTGAGCCGTCCCCCAGGCTCTCCCAGTGACCTGCGAGGTGGGGATCATGGGTCCACAGTGCCCAGACCCGACCCGCCCCCCAGCCCACATCTAAACTGTGAAGGCACAAAGAGCTATCTCAACAGGGCTGGTTACACACACACACACACACACACACACACACACACGTGTGCATGAAACACATGTGAGTGGGTTCTGACTGCCGCCGGGCTGTTAGGGCCATGCTCCCCAGGGGTTTCAATGACTAGGTTTCTAGGGGATCACCAGGCCTTGCTCCTTGTATCTGAGACACGCATGTACTGAATGCCATGACCGGTCAGTGTGCCCTACTGTGCCTACGTGTGAGGCTGGAAGCTATACCACCTTTCCTGGGAACGGCAGCAGGCTCGCCCAGAGCGGACAGGCCTGAGCAGTGCTCCGTAGGGAGATCTACTCCCAGAGCAAACGAGCAGGTCCAAAAGCTTATATTGCAGAATACACTGTGGTTCATTATTACTGTTCAGCTAACCTGCTAAGTAATGTAACTGGGCGTCCAGCATCTTATCTGGAAAGAGGTGGGGGACCAGTGCCTGGGGACCAAAGGGATGGATGATGACGCGAGGGGGCCCACCCCCACCCCGCCACCCACCGTGTAGCTACAGTTCTCCTTAACGACCACTCGGCTGGCAAAGGTCTCATTGTGCGCATCGATACGGAGTGTCCGTTCCTTCCAGTTCAGCACGTTTCTCTGCACAAACACGGCGTGCTCGACGCCGGCGATCTGCAGGGGGAGGGCACCTGCCTTGGAGGATGCTGGGGGGTGACCCCCACCCCCTAACCTACACCGGGGCACCCGCCCACATCCCTTCCCACAGCCTAGCCTCAACCCCCACCTCAAGTCCCATCCCTCCACCTCAGCTGCACCTCCAAGTTGTCCGCCTCCCAGCCCAGACCCCCAAATCTACACTGGGCTTTGATCCCTGAAGCCTTCCAGAAACTGCCCAACCCATCAGTTCCCCCACCCCTGGTACCCGGTACCCCTTCCCAGACCCCTGGGCCTCACTTGCCACACCTCCCCAGACCCCTGTTCTCTCTTTCCTCACCCCCTGCCTCCAAGCCCCCCACAAAGCCCCAGCACTCTTCGCACCCTGGCCCCTGAAGGCAGGGGCCCTGAGTCCCCACCCACTCTCTGTACCTCACCGTCGCAGCCACGCCCCTACTGGAGCACTAGCCCCGGTCCCGCCCCCGGGCCTGTCCCACCTGTGCCCACCTTCCGCAGCAACCGAGGGGCCTCCACGCGCAGCCGGCAGCTCCGCTCCACCACGTGCACCGCTCCATCTGCGCTCCGGGACTCGCTCAGAACCTCACTGCCCAGGAAGACCGGGATTTGTGGGCAGGTGGGGAAGCGCTTCTCATAGGCCTGCGGGGGGGACAGGGGGGGCACAGTAGGCCTATCAGCGCCAAGGGGTGGGGCCCAGAGCCCCTGTGAGGGGCTTGGTAGCCAGACACTCCACCAGCCCGGTGGGCTGGGTCTCAGAGCTCTAGCCCCTGGCCATGGGCCACCGTTGTCCTTTCTGTTCTTGGGGTGCCATGAGCACTGGCCCATAGCGACCCCGTGCACAACAGAAAGCCACACTGCCCAGTCCTACGCCCTCCTCGTAGCTGTTCCCACGCATGAGCCCATCGTTGGAGCCACTTGGGCAGTCCGCCTTCATTGGGGCCTCCCTCTCTCTGCTGTCCTTCTCCAGGGACTGGTCTCCCCTGATAACCACTGATTAAAAAAAACAAACCCACTGCCATTGAGCCCATTCTGACTCGTAGTGACCCTACGCAGGGCAGAACTGCCCCTGTGCATTTCGAGATGGTCACTCTTCACAGCAGTAAAACGCCCCTATTTCTCCACTGACACCCCCTTTACCCTCCCCCCACCGTGTGTGCCCCCCGGGAGCTGTAAGGAGCCTGGTCTGGGGTCAGCAGTGCAGACTCTGGAGCCCGCTGCCTGGACACAAAGCCCTCCCTTGCCACTTGTGAGCTGGGGGGTGATTTAACTTCTGGGTGCCTCAGTGCCCAGGCAGGTCACAGCTGCTCACCCTGAGGGCAAGGGGCTGCTCAACTCACTGCTAGTGAGTCCATCCTGACTCTGTACCTCTTTGTGGGAGTAGAAACCCTCATCTTTCTCTCTCTGAGTGGCTGGTGAATTTGAACTGCAGACCTTGCCGGCGGCAGCTGCACCCGTAACCACCAGGGTTCGTGCTATGAGGAGCTGCAGTGGGTGCCAAAAGCCACAGCTGGATCAGTCAGTCCCAGGGCTTGTCGCTGGGTCAGGCTCCCTGACACTGAGGCTTGGCGTCTGCAGAGCGGGCTTCCTTCTGCAAGGCCAGGGGTCCTCCCAGGCAGGTGCAGTGGCCGGAGGGGACCCCAAGCCCGTGACAAGCCCTCAAGGGAAGGTGTGAGTCAGATGGGGTGGGGGTGGGAGGCTGTGCCTGGCATCTGTGGCTGACACCATCCAAGCGGGGTCTGCTCCAAGTGCCTGCCACAACCCACGTGCCCCAGAATCAGGATCAACTGGAGCCCAAAAATAACGCTGGCATCTAAGGGCGGACACCTCCTCCCCCATCCCTCCAGGCTCCCCCAAGAAGTGCCACCCATATTAGAGCTGGGAGGAGGGAGGGAAGGGCAGGGACCGAGGAAGAAGTGGGACCAAACCCAGGTGTCCTTGGTCTGACCCCAGTCCCCACTAGGTCAGCCCAGGCCAGAAGCACAGAGCTGCCTCCTGCCAGGTTTCAAAGCTGGAGCTTTGAGTGGGAGTCCCCATCCACCCTCATCCCAGAGGTGTGTATGCGTGTGTGCAGAAAATAATGCCTCCAGCAGTTCTCATGGTGACCTTTTCATTGTGGTCAAGGTCAACGTTGACCTTCGATCATTCACACATTTTTTGTTCTGGTCCCAGATGGTCATCCCACGATGGAACAGGCTCTGCCCACTTCTTCCCTACCACCCTGGTGTCCACTCCTCCTTCTCTTTTGCCCATTCCTGCCTTCTGGTTTGGGATGACTCTGCCCTTCTAGATTTTTAGTTATTTTTACTGAAAAAATATATTCCTCCCTGCTGTTCTTATTATTCACGTTATAAAATCCAAGCTCACAGCCACCGAGTCCATTCGACTCCTGGCAGCCCCACAGGACAGGGGAGAACGGCCCCTGTGGGCTTCCGAGACTGCAACTCATTATGGGAGTAGACAGCCTCATCTTTCTCCCAAGGAGTGGCTGGTGGTTTTGAAGCGCTAACCTCGAGGTTGGCAGCCAAACGTGTACCACGATTGTCTGGCCTCGTGGCGCACTGTGAGTTAGGTGAGGGCTGCTAACCAAAAGTTCAGGGGTTCACACGCACCAGCCGCCCCGAGGGAGAAAGAAGAGGCCATCAGCTTCCATAAAGCTTTACAGGCTCAGAAATGCCAGGCAGGGGTCACTACAAGTCAGAAATGACTCAATGGCGGTGAGCTCATTCTTTGGCAGAAAGGTGATCCCTTGGGTGTTCGTTTCCAAGCCTGAAGGGTGTCAAAGGGCCAGCTTCTTGGGGGTTCCAGCAGTCTCTATCAGACTAGTCATTCCGGTCTCTTTATGATTTTGAGTTCTGTTCTCCATGTTTCTCCCACTCTGCTGTAATCTCCATCCGAGTGCTTAGTAGCCGGGCACCATCCAGTGCTCCTGGTTCCATGATCCATGACTCCTTCAGACTCATTGTTTCTTTTATTTTCCTCCTCCCTTGCTCAAGATGGGGAGAGACCAATCGATGCGCCTCAGATGGCTACTCAGGAGGCGTGACACATTGTCTGTGTGGATGTGGATGTGAGGGCAATTTGTCTCCAGTGGCTGAGTGACCTCTCAGAGCCAGCAATGAACACTTGGCTGGAGACCAGAAACTGCTCATTGGTGCCCCCTTTTCATGTGCCATGTGCCATGCCTGTCCTACCCCAGATACACCTCTGCCCAGGGGCCCAGGCTCAGAGGGCTGGCAAAGCAAGGACCCTGAGAATGGTACCCGCTGCCCCCACCCCCCTACACACACACACACACACACACACACACACACACACGCATCAACCCACTTTGGACATTCTACCAAGGGAATGCAGTTAGTCCCGTGGGTCAGGCTGCTGGCTTTGAAGCCCAGCTCCAAGACAGGCCCCTCACTCTAACCCAATTTCTCATCTGGCAAATGGGTATAAAACTAAGCTCATCTCCCAGAGGACAAAATAGGTGACACGCTCAGCATGGTTGCTCTTCAGGCCACAGGACAGTTCCCCAAAAGGTGGCCCTGCACAGGGTGGCAAGAACTGAGAGTCCCTGCCCCCCTGACACCCATCAAGTGAGGAAGGAGCCCTGGTAACTAAAGGTCTGCTGATCCCCCCCCCCAATTGATTTATTTTGGTTATTGTTGAGACTGATCACAGTGGAACCCAACCCAATCCACTGCGCCACGTAGGTTCTGACTCCTGGCGACCTGACCCTGTAGGGCAGAGCGGGACTGCTCCCCAAAGCTTCTGAGGCCGCTGGTCTTTGCAAAAGCAGACTACAGTGTCTTGCTCCCCATGAACGAATGGCTGGTGGGTTTGAACCGCTGGCCTCTGGGTTAGCAGCCTAGTGCTTAAACACTGCACCACCAGAGCGTAGTCACAGCAGAACCCCGCGGCCCGCCCAGAGGTGTTTTGAGGGCATTCTTCCAGTAGCACAGCCCTCTCACATTCCTCCCCCACCGACGCTCTTGTCCTGCACAGATCTTCCTGTTTCTGGGGCCCTGTCCCACGGACTGTCAGACCATTTCCCATAGTCACAGCAAGTACTCCTAACAGTTCAAAGTCGGGAACAACAACGCAAATCCTCTCAACTGATGAACGCATAAACAAAGCTGTGATCCAGCCATACCGTGGAATGGTCGCCGTTGTTGATGGCGTCATCCAGTCAGTTCCGACTCCTATCAACCTGATGTCCGGCATTCTGATGTGTGCCATCCTCACAATTGTTGCAGTCACTGTGTCAGTCCATCTTGTCATGAGTCTTTCTCGCCGCCCCTCTACTTTACCAAGCATGATGTCCCTTTCCAAGGAGCCGTCTCCCCTGATCACATCACATTCAAAGTACGTGTTAGGAAATCTCAACATCCTTGCTTCTAAGGAGCATGCTGGCTGCACTTCCACATGGTCCCATCCAGGCAATATCTGTTGCTGCTGTTGTTAAGTGCCAAGTGGTTCTGACCCATAGCTATCATCCCATGCTCAGCAGAGCAAGACACCGCCCAGACCAGCACCCTCCTTACAATTGTTCCTACGCCTGAGCCCATGTTTGCAGGCAGTGTGTCCATCTCCTTGAGCACCTTCCTCTTTTTCGCTGCCCCTCCACTTTACCAAGCATGATGTCCCTCTCCAGGGACTGGTCTCTCTTGACAACATGTCCAATGTCTGTAATTTGAAGTCTTGCCGCCCTTGCCTCTAAGGAGCACCTCATCCGTACTTCGTCCAAGGCAGATCAGCCTGTCCTTTCAGCAGGCCATGGTCCTTTCCGTGCTCTCCCACAGCACCACAATTCAAACGCAACGATTCTCCTTCGGTCTTCCTTGTTCCATGTCCAACTTTCACGTGCAGACGAAGTGATTGGGCCATGCGTACCTAAGTCTTCAAAGCAACCTCCTGGTTTTTCAATGCTCTAAAGAGGTCTTGATACAATGCATTGCATCTTTTGACCTCTTGGCTGCTGCTTCCATGAGCACTGATTGGGGTTCCAAGCAAGCCAAAATCCTTGGCAACTCCCACCTTTCCTCCATTTATCATGATGTTACCTGTCGGTCCGGTTGTGAGGTTTTTGGTCTTCTTTACGTTGAGTCATAATCCATACTGAAGGCTGCCATCCCCAGTCTTCATCAACAAGAGCTTCAAGTCCTCCTCACTTTCAGCAAGCAAGGCGGTGTCTCAGGCACATCGCAGGCGGTGAATCAGCCTTCCACCCATCCTGATGCAAGGTCTGAAATAGACAACTCCCGAGAGACCTATTGTTGATTCGTGGTTGCCTGGTGGGGGGCCATCAAAGCAATGTGCATGCTCAACAAGTCTCAGTGGAACTTCTAAAGTAGATGGAGGAGGAAGAAAGGCCTGGCTGTCTAGTTCTGAAAATCCATGAAAACCCTGGGGAGCACATAACTGACCGTGGGGTGGTTCCAAACAGAGCCCACCCACTGCGGCCAGTCGATTTTGACACGGAGCGACCCGGTAGGACAGAGCAGAGCTGCTGAACAGGGTTTCACAGGCTGTAGATCTTGACAGGAGCCGGCCGCCTCATCTTTGTCCCTCAGAGGGCCTGGTGGCTGAACTGTCAACCTTTCAGATGTGGCAGTTAGGTTTTGTGTCAACTTGGCTGGGTCCGGCGT